GAAAAGCAGCCAGAGGAAGTGCATGCTGAGGCTGAAGTAGACCTTGGCCATGAGGACCAGCAGAGGCAAGTTCAGGGGGCTTCGCCTTGCGGTAGGCAATGATCAGGACAGTGAGTCATTGGCTTGCCGAAGGCTGCGAAATGTGTGGCCTGCACATGAAACAGGCCAATACGCTTATGGCCACAGTATGGAGCCCACCCGCAGGTAGTCAGTGCTGCAAGTGTTTGACTGATGTGTTGAAGCACCGGCACAAACAAGCATGGCAGGCCGCAGCTGCAAGAAAGGCACGCTGAGTTGGCTTGTTCTGCGTAGGGATGAAGGCCATACGGGCCTTGGCCAGGCCAAAGGAAGCTACTACCTTGCGAGCAAGGATGCTCAGTATGTTCCCGGGGGACGGTGTAGTGTTTTTCTCTTAGGTGTGGAGATTGCTGTCACTTGTGAGTCTTAGACGAAAGATGCAAAGCGAGTTCCCCTTGAATTCCCACTTGAAGTGACTCGGAGACTGCACTCGGCTCATGTGGATCCATTTGGCCAAGGACGGGCGTCACAAACCCTTGGAGCTTGCACCTAAGGGCCTCAGGCCGTGCCTCAGGCCATGTGAGAAGTGGCTGAGGCCCTGTCCCATTTGCATGGAGGGCTTCACGTCTGATGGAATGCCCAGGACCTAAATGCTGGTGGAACAGCATGGTCTGCACATTTTGTCTCCGACTCCTGGTGTCCCTGGTTGTTTGAGCGCGCCAACTTTGGGAGGACATGCCGCAAGTGCAGCAACAGCTTCCACCAGGCAGAGCTGCTGCGTCTTGCAAATGACGAGAGCGGTATGCGCAAGGCTTGCCTTTCCGAATGGGCGAAGAAGGAGCAGCAGATCAAATGGGAAGCTTGTCTGAGAGTGGGAACAGAAACGTTAGTGACGTCAGTTGAAGTACTTGCTGTCAAAGAACTGTGTGTGTGTTGTGATGATGCGTGATGAATACAATTGTTGCGCCCTAAGGAGCAAAAGCCGTGGATGCTTCCATCACAGTTTGAGTCTGGCAGCTGCGAAGAGCTCAGAACCCAAGAGAGCTTCATGGGGGATGACCTGCTTGTCCCAGAGCACAACGTACTAGTTGATGGTGAGCTCCAAAAGTCTGCGTGAGCTGCGACATCACTGCTTTCCGCAACGCATCACAGTTTGGCAGCGCCAAATGGCACTCAATTCCAGCGGGGGAGCTAGCTTGGCCAGCTGATGTTTGCCACCCCCGAACTCGGATATGTTTGGCCACTCGACTCTTCACTGCTCACTGACTTGCAGGTCCATGCTGCCGGTCTTCAAAGGGACATGACAGGTCCAGGCAAGACAAGGCTCTCAGCTAACCCCCGCCCGATTTCTGGGTCAGGCGCTGGAAGAAGTGAAGTCGTCAACAGCCGCCTGACAAAGTGTCGGCTGCGCCAGGCACGGGTTCGGTTTTCTCGGCGTGCAACTAAGTCTATGCGAGCTGCAGAATGTGCGCAGCTGCCTTGCCAGGCCGTTTCGCAACAGGTTTCCGCTCACCAGAGATGCCGCAAATGTGGCACTTTGGGGCTGCAGCGCGAGCAGAATTTTCTTGACACCAGCCACCTGCTGAAAGCCGAAATCTCATGTTGGATGCAATTTGGGACGAGAGGCTCACCGTGTACAGATGGTGCCCAGAGATGCGAGTTATCAAAAGACAGAAGCCTTAGGCCAGGAACCAGAAGTACAAATAACAGCAGTTGCTCCTTTTTGTTCAGATGTCTGAATTAACTTACAACTTTGCCGGAGCTTTCCAATGCCCGTCGGCGTTCAGTCCCTCAAGGTGTGAAGCCGCTTAGGCTACACAGACGAAGCTTTCACGGCAGCCATATGCTAGAGCATGTCAATACTACCATTAAAGTGTCCCCAAATAAGACTCATACCGATACCCATGTTACAACCAACATGATTATGTTAACAACCACATTCTTATCACGTGAAATGTGCGCAGATGTTTACTTGGTTTATGCGCAGATGTTTGCAGAAGGACATTATGTTGATATGGTATGGAGATATGATTTGCCAAAGATGTGCATTCGCCTCTCTTCGGTGGCTCAGGCACCTGAGCGGCACGTTTGAAGAAAGAAATGCAAAGGAAGCGTGCATATAAAGTCCAGAAGCAGTCTCGCCCAAGTGGGGACTGAAGAATTGAATTTACTTGCGCCGCAGGCCGACCACATTGGCCAGGTTGGCATCAGCATCCGAGGCGGGACATATCACAACTCATGTTGCTTTGAGTATATAGACAGTTTTATCATGAGCTGGCAGAGTTTGTGCTGCCGTTTGCTGTCGCACGGTGGTGGCACTGCTAGTATAGTGATGATCGCTTGCGTGAGAACGTACTGCAGTTCAAAACACGTTGCTAATTGGGCACGGAAGGATTGACATTTCCTGATGTCAGTTCTTGCTTATTGTGTGTGGCAAAGATGTCCAGCTTTTGGAGATGTTGGAAGTTTGCGCACGCAAATGTAGAGAGGGTTCTGAACATGTCCCACTGGTAACAAAAGCGAACAGGAATGGCTGCGCATAGTGCAATTCACCGCGACAGCAAGCGGGCGTCCTTGTTTCCAGGTGCCTTTTGGCATTGCCAAAGATGCAAAGCCCAGAGATGGAGTCAAAAAGCGTGAAGAGATGTCCAAAGAAGAGATGTCCAAAGAAGGCGCGGCCTGTTTGACACTTGGGTTTAACTTCGACATGCGTTGCGTTGCAATGATACACAACCTAGTAAATAAAAAAAAAGAAAGACTTGCAAGTTTGAACCTGTCTAAAGCCCTCAACGGGTCTGATTCGTTCCATGCCTTGCTTCATGCTTGGCTTTTTGGCCAGGGCAATCCAGGCCGCACAGCAGATCATTTCGGTCGGTGCAGCCAGCTATTGGCGACCGGGCGAATCGGCGAATCGGTTTGTCTGCTGAAACAGCCTTGGCATTTGACCAATTGAGGATTGTTACGAACTCTCGCTACGATTTGTTTGTCCAAATAGGGAGCTTCTGGGGAGAGTTTCTTGCTCGCCCGCCTTTACACCCCCAAAAGGAGCCAAGATTGAGAGCCCACTTGCAAGTCAGAAGTCAATCATGCTGCGTGATGTGAGCTGCGGATAGAGGGCTCAGAAAAACTCTGAGGACAAATCCAGCCCAGCTTTACTTCCACCTCGTGTTTGGGCAGCGAGCAAGCCCATGACAAAGTAAGCATTCCACCACCAGACAGCTTGCATTCCTGTTGGATACTTTTTTGCTGTACAGTTTGTGCAGCAATTCTAGCAGCGTGGCAGGTGTGTCCCTTCACAGTGCTGCGACCCAAGCGGGTGCAAATGGGATGGATGACTTTCTTTGAACTCAGTTGATCCAACCTCCTTGCGAGCGCTTCTGCTTGTCAGGTGGGGAGGAATGTTCACATGGATCAAGGAACTGCATGTTTTTCTTCACTGCCTTTCGGGGGCCTATGGCCTACAACATTGGCTTGTATCCTCCCCCCATGATATCTCTAAACTGAATTTTTTGCCAGCCGCTTTGCATTCAGAGCTTTGCTCACGATTCCATTCCTGGACTGAACTCTTTTTAGCCGTGACGCTTGTCAATGAGTTTGTCCCAAGCGGTGTAAGACATCAATCAAGGCCTTGGGAGCAACCTTACACTGTGCTTTTGCCGTGATACTTGTTCATTTTACATACCAATGTTGTTCCATGTCTGTTCATGCCAGGCCAACCACCATGCTGTTTCTCACAACCAGCCGGGAAGCGTGTTGTGTTCAGTGGGTTGTTAGTGGCATGGACAAGATTGGACAGGGCCAATCCTGCACCTTGATGTCGACCTGACAAACTAAGCTCACGAGGCATGCTTGATGTTGGATCTCAGGCACCGAACAGCCTCGGACAACATTCCGGTCTACGTGACCAGGCGAAAGAATCGCACAGAGGATGTCACCGCTGCAGACTGAGAGGGAAGCAAAATCGGGATGCGCTGTGAGTGTTGGTTTGTGAAATGCGCGTCGGTAAAGTTCGCCGTGGCTGGTGCAACTCAGGTCGTCAAAAAGGTGAGAGGTGACCGGGAAGCTCTGAAGCGTGAGATCGAGCTGCTCGGCTCGGATGGATGCCTTTGGTGCCACCCTCGGTGTGAAGTGCATGGTTGCAGGTTCCTGTGCGGGACTCGAGCGTCATACGGGAAGAGCGGCTTCCTGGAGGTGGCAAGCGCCTTTGATGTAGATGTACGAGGTTCGGTTTAGCTGGCTGAGTCTGAGGTTGGCAATCACAGACGGGCCATCAAGGGATACCTGCGCAGCATCGGCTATTAAGCTGAAAAGGCTCAGACGCGGACAGCTGAAATGAAATCAGGTGAGCTATTTGTTCAGTGGTGTTTCCACTTTTTTCCAGTTATTTGTTTCCACTCTTTTGCTTCCCGCAAGCACACAAGCAAACCAAGCCAAGCCAAGCAAGCAAGCAATCCAACAAGCACCGTAAACCCACCCTCAACCCACCAAAGCGATCCCCAAACCCACCCTAAGTCCCACTTTAAACCCAAGACATACCCGTTCTAAAACAACCCTCAACCCCCTGAACCTAACCAAAGCCTGACCCCACCCTAAACCCTTTAAAACAATCTACGCCCACCCTAAACTAACCCTAAGGCCACCCTAAACGGTAAACTCACCTAAACCCACTCTAAACCCAAGGTACACCCACCCTAAACCAGCCCGAAACCCAGCCTGAGCCAAACCAAAACCAAGCCTAAACAAACCCAAGCCACCATACCAGCCCTAAACCCATCACCCTAAACCAATCACCCTAAACCCACCCTGAAGTAACCTTAAACCAATGAACTCACCCAAACCCACCTTCAACCTAAACCAACCCTAACCCAACTCCGAACCAACCCTAGGCCCACCGAAACCAACCATAAACTGACCCCAAGCCCACTCACCCGAACCTAAACCAACCCAAAACTATCCCGAAGCCCACCCTGAACTAACCCTAAACACACCCAGCCTAAGCCTACTCTAAACCCCCGAAACCACCCTAAACCTGCACTGAACCTAAGTCATCCCGAAACCCAGCCTAAGCTTCGCCAAGCCACCACAAAGGCACAGTAAAGCAACTACCCTAAATCCTAAACCCCAAGCCTAGGGAGCAAGAGTCCGGCATAGCTAGCTAGAAAGTCTTTGCTTCCGGTCAGTAGGGCACGAGGGTGAAGTGTGTGAGTGAATTCAAAGCGGCAAGGACAGTGGACAATAATCCCGACAGAAGGTGGTGAAAAATAGATCACGGGGAAAAATGCGAACACGACTAATCAGACTTGATATTTGTCCCAAGATAGATATTGCAACAACAAGATATCGGGGGGTCAAAGCCCCAGCCTGTACCGCTGGTGAACATCAAAATAGGTGGCAAATGGATGTTCATCCACCCCAAAATGGCTCGCCATATGCCCCATGGCCAGGTGCCAAGTTCTCCTTGGCTCTGTTCAATATACTGGAGATCTGATCCAAAGACTTCCGTTTGGAAAGCCGCGGGCTCCGCGTATCTCTCGGCTCTCAGCTCTCTGCCTGTTCAGTTAAGCGAGTAGCCGCGCCATGGGCGACTCGCCTGCAATGGGTGTCGCTTGAGTCCGGCGTGCTCTTTTTCGGAATGCACCAGCAATACTTCAGGTATCAAACACTGAGAATGTTGATACAATGTTGATATGCTGATTACAAAGATGGATGGCAGCTGATTGAACATGCCTTGCAGGTCAGAAGTGCTGCACAGACCGCAAGGCGACTGGTTCGTGCCAGGTGCTACAGTTGATGTCCTAAATATTGCAAGCAGAGGAGCAAGGGAAACCAAGGGTTTACAATGGTGCTGTGGTCGAGTGTGGTTGGTTGACTTGCAATATTTGAGACATCATACACAGCAGGAAATCGGCGCATTGCAAAAGGGAATGGGGAGATGCCACAACTTCTACCCAGTTCTGATTCGACCTGAGGGCTACTAGTGGCATTGCAACCCCACTACAGGATACGTGCATAGATGATATGTATACGTGTGCACATGCCTACTCTATAGAGATGTGACTTTGTGACGCACATTACATGTACGGGACGGTCTACACATAGCAAAGCTTGTGAATTGCCACAGGATGCGGGCAGCAGCGGCGGCGGCAGCAAGGACTGGTACAGAGCAGCAGGCAGAGAAATCCCCCCTACGGTCTCTGCACAGCGTTCCAGTGCGCTCCCTCTCCAGTGCCCCAAGAGTGCCCTGCCATTTTACCCTGACCAAGTCGGTCCAACTCAAAGCAGAAATGGTCAGAAATGGGCAGACATGTTCCTTGTCGCATCAAGCTTTTGTTGAAGCCAACTAAAAGCTAAGGTGCCAATTGTTGGCACGGGGCATTGGACTGGGGGAAGCACCTGTGGCTTTTTGCTGCTCAGAGTCCCATTTTGAGCAGCGACAATGAACACAATGTGTGGCAATGTGTGATACGTATTTGAGTCCAGCAAGAGCTAGAAAACCGCATATGATTTTGGTCGCCAAAGGAGCGGCATGTGTCACTGTGTCTGGATTTCTGCTTCGCGGTTTCGAGGCTTAATGGCCAAGCAGCTTGTGTTTCTCCAAGCATTTTGTCAGGACAAGCAGCCGGACTTGAGCCTTTGGTCCGCAAGTCGATCATCCTGATACTTGGGGCCGATGTTTACTGTTCATCGGGCAGATTGCTGATCAACCTTGATGATGTGCCAAGGCTCACGCAAGTCAGCTGCAGCCCAAGCGAACTGAACTGTCACGAGAGTCATTCTTTGTGGGTGAAAGAGCAAGGTGTAGAATGGTCGGAGTGAGAGACACGCACCCACTGGCAAGCAAGATGAGCTTGAGGTGGCAGGTGGCGGATATGACAACAAGAAGAGGGCACGCCTCATGTTTTTGGTGCAGATGCCCATCCTTGCCTGTGCAGTCGAATGATCTAATGCATGCCATGCGAAGAGAAGTCCAATGCTCAGATGCCAGGCCATCTCCATTGGGTATCATTCCAAAGGTGATGATTCTGAGAAGTTTGACAAGGCAAGCTGCCATTGAATGGCTTGTTGCGTTTGTCTCTCTCAAGCTGTGTTCAGCAAGCGCTGGATACAGCACTCGTCGAGGAACGGAATTACATTTGGCTCTCTTTCTTTCTCTCTTTTTGATTGATTGATGACTCTTTTGCTCCTTTCATACCCCCTGTTCGACGGCCACAATAGAGACGACTGCTGCTGCTCTTGAGGGTGACATTAGACGTGATCATGATGCACTGTTGCCTCGTGCAGTGGCCCACATGAGAGGCTTTTGAAACCAACGACTTGAAAGCCTTCGTCGAATTGCTGGCTTCGCAGCAGGCGTGACGTGACGGGCTGATATGCTTGATATGTTTGTTGCCTCAACCGATAGCCAGCTCTGTGGCTGAATGCTCCTGCAGGCCATCGAGTACGGCATCCCAAGATTTGCAGAACGGCGTTTCTATGATGGTGATCAGATGTTGGACCAAATGTGCGATGGGGGTTGTTGAATTGTGGGCACAAGGCGTGATGACAGTCAAAACCAAGTCAAGTGCCAGAAATGCATTTGACATGATGATCGGTTGGCGCTGAAACCAGTCGATCGCGCAGTGCAAAGTCGCAAATCCCGGCCAGTGTTAAACTTGCAACTTCTCTGGGAAGGAGGGAATGACCTTTATGAGTATCCCTTCTGGTTCTCTTTAAGAGGATCACGTTCATTACCAGAGCAATTCGAGTTAAAGGCAAAGGCTTTGCGCTTTGCCCGCACCCCGAAGTGGTGCGTTCACGAGGTCGTTCGATGAGAGGATGCACCCTTGGGCAGAGGATCCAAAGACCGCGCAGACCTGAGTTGTCCAGTTGCACCCTGGCCCAAGGCTTGAACAGTAGCCAGAAGGTCATTCTTTAACAGTGGGTGGTTAAGCACCAGGTTGGCACAACCCTTGACCAATTTGCTTCGAGACAGATGGCTCTCAGGTGGGTGCACTTGCAGGAACGCAGCTTGCCATCTTGGCGTCAGCTGCGGAGCAGGCGGAGGCCTGCAGCTGGAACACGTGTCATGTGTGTCCTAAAATTGGGAGAGGACCCTTTCTCATTTTGGTGGTTCCCAGCCATCAGCTTCCTTGGCTGTTTAGCTCAGGGTGTAGTGGTAGTTTCCATTCAACCTGCTAAAAGTTAAACTTTTAGCGGGGGATTTGCGGACAGCCCAGTCATGGTTGACTTGGCTGTGGGTCAAAACCAATGGTACCATTTTGGGGTAGGTGCACCACCTATTTTAGTGGGGATTGGCATGTTCATTGGGGGTACAGGATTTCGACATGGCCATTTCGCTTTGAATTAACTGTTAACATTCAGCAGGGTCCTTTCCCAAAATCGCACGCCTAGTGGAGGCGGGCAAAGCGTCGGAGGGGTTGGCAGCAGACTCGTCGTGTCTCGTGTTTGCAGGGGAACAAGCAGATCAAGGATGACATCCGGAAGGCTGATGAATTGCCCGTCACAATGGTACCGTTCTTGTCATACTCAAAATGCTGTGCATATGTTGCTCTTGCCTGTGATGTGAGATAAAGACCAAATGAGTTCAGCAAGCACCGCCTGTCAAATCACATATGCTGCGGAAGTTAAGCCAACCTGTAAAGCTTTGTTCTGATGTGTGAATTGATGGGATCTTGCACGTTATATGAGGTTCCTTGGGAACATAGGGGCACTCACAAAATTTCCCACAACAAACAGAGGGCTCGGCAATTGTCCCATGTCCTCTTGCGAAAACAAGTATTTTTGACTGCGTCTCATACATATGGGGTGTGTGTGTGTGTGTGAGTGGGTGGTCGATTGCTTGATCCTTTCAGGCGGGGGCTATCCCTCCACTCGTGGACTTCCTGAAGTCAGATCAAAACGACCCGCGCTTGGCTTTTGCTGATCTCTAGCCGCAAGCTTTGACGAAGCCTGCAATGGAACCAACCAAGCCTGGTGTCCTTTTTGTCCAGCCTTTTGGGGGTTTGAATGAAACGGGCCTTCAAAGCGAAACCGAAGCCCATTCCCCATTTTTAGACACAGCCTGCGTGTTTTTGTCACCCATCTCGGGCTCAAGGATCGCGTGCAGACTGCCGTGGTGGCGCTCAGCTTCCTCACCGAGCCTTGACTGACTGATTATGCCAAAAAGTTCAGGGGAAGAAGGTTTGTGCTTTCGTGGGATGTTTTGCTGGAGTTTTTTTTTTTTTAATGAAACCAAGCCTCAGGCTACCCTTATAGTTGGCGATTTGTGGATTTGAACTCAGTACGTTTTGAAGCAAAAGTCCAAACCACCAAACCAAATCACCAATTGGGGGTAAGGTGATACCCCTAGGTTGTTGGTTTCATGTTGGTTTCTCGAAGTTCTGCCAGCGAGTCCGACATCCAGGCCGACTGCCGTGACAACGTCGTAGCTGCAGGGAGCCCAAATACGGTTTGCAGTTGCCGGGATGCAGAGCTACATTCGTTCAACTTTCAACATCTCACCAACCCACGTGGCACTTAACCCCTGAGGGAACAACCTAAGTGTAGGTGTGTAATTTCTCACAACCTGGGGTCAAAAATAGGGAAACCCCAAAATGGCTTGCCCTGGTACATGGAAGCCTGGACGAAGCAGAATCTTTCCCTTTGAATTTTGACCCATCGGGTTCTCATCGGGTTCTTCCCGTGAGCCGTGAGCCGAGAGGCCTACGAGTTCCATCCGATTCCGAGGCCTACGAGGCAGGGGCCCTCGAGTTGATGCTGAAGCTCGTGGACTCGAAGGTTGCAGCAGCCCTCAGCCAAAGCGAGCGGTCGGGAAGCCGGCGACGTGTTTTGGCCGTCACTTTGAAAACTGTGAAAAAGCCGTGGTTTCACCATGGCTTTGCGTTCCATATGGTTCAGCATTGGGAATCCTGCGTAATACCTGTGTGGCTTGATGGATATATTTGCATGTAGTGAAGAGCAACGAACTGTGCCAAACACCATGTTGCTGGATGTGTTGCACCGTGGTGTGTTGGTTTGTGCATTGTGCCTTGGTGCACTTAGCATGTACGTGAGTTATGAGTGCTTGGATTGCGGCAGTGAGGCCGGCGAACGCGCAGCTGCGGCCACAACTCTACGCAACATTTGCATGGAGGACGATGTGTGCGACCAACGGACAAACACATATATCAGGTCAATCGGGTCGGTCAAAATTGCCAGTATTATGTGGTCCATTTGGAAGGGGACTCACCAAATGTCGCCACAAAAAGCCGGGACTCACTAATTGTCCTGCGTCCCTTAGGGCAACAAGTAATTTTGACCATGGTTCGTACGCTATCAAATGCGTCCTTCAAGCAAACGTGTCTCCCAGGTATCGGAAGAAGTTTGTGGAGCTTGGAGGCATTCAGGCGAGATATGCATCATCAAATGATGCACCATCCACATGCCCACATGCAGTACATGCCTGGACAATTCTTGGTAGCAGTGAGCCAGCTGACATTCAAGAGCAGCAGTTGCGCGGTGGCTGGAGTCACGCATACATTGGTGCTTGTTTATTAATTTGCCAACCGGGTGGCTGTGAATTGGAATGGGGAATAGCCGAATAGCCTCAACCATAATTGGCGACAGAAATGTCTCCAAACATTGTCCAATGGAAGCTGCAGGCATTGGTGAACCAGCTGGACACCACCCCAGATCCCTCCTTGAACCATGCAGACGTGCAGCTGGAGGTGCACACCTCAGCGCTAGAGGTGTTCTAGCTCACATGCGATGCACTCCACCTTCTCGTCACGTGTATGCTTTAAATATAGCCTATAGGTAGGGAACCAGGGGCAACCCGTAAATGCCCATGTGGGTTTACTTGCAACTTCCTGCGGAAGCCTAAGGCTGTGAACGCTGCTCTGAGTTACAACAACCATCGCTGAGGCAGTCCTCAACCTTCAGGATATGGTGGAGACAGAGGATGGACAGACCATCGAAGAGTGCCATGGATGCACACGACTCCAGAGATGTTGCCGACATCGTTTTATTCAAACCACTCAGGTATGCGAAGCTGGCGGTGAAGGCGGGTGCCATCCCCAAGTTGCAGGACGGCGCAAGCTGAGCGGAAGTGCCTAGTCCTGTAGACTTACCTTCCAGGAGCTGGAGAAGTCTGAAGACAAAGAAGTTGTGACATCCGCGCAGGAGGCGGGCAAGCAGATGCAATTCAAATGAGGCAAGCAGAAGGGTTGACACGAGGGTTTATCCAAGTCGCTTGCTTGTAATGTCTGTTTTTCTGAGCCATCTTGCACGCGCTGTTCTGCAAGGTGCTTGAAGCGCTTCAAGCCTATGCATAAGGCTGTCTATCATACATTTGCCAGGGCCTGTGTGCAGGAGTTTGTGACACTCGAGCTGATGTCAATACTTGGCTCAATTTCCTCTCATCACAACTTGACAAAAGTGTGTGTACGTGACAAGAGTGCTGCCAAAGTGAGAAAACCTGCGCAAAATGCAGAGCCCTTGGCACCTGCGTGTGTTGCGAAGCCCTGCCAGTTCCATCTTGAGTGAAGCCTGCCACAAGCTGTCTTGCTTTTTTTTTGCTGGCGAAAGGGAGGTGTATACGCACCTTTTGCTTTGGCATCAAAGCCAAAGCCTTGTGAATGAGCTCCACCAGACCATGACAAGGGTGGTTTGCCATCTCAATTCCATTGGCATTGCCTGCTATGGAGGTGGGTGTGTGCACGCTCAAGATAGTTCACCGATTTGAGCCACTGCCTTTGAAAACTCTGTGGTGTTTGTGTTGACAAGCTGCCAGTTTACAGAGGAGCAGGGAATCCTATCTTGTGCAGTGCATGCCAGTAATGATAAACTGCTTGCAGCCTTTGCTCATCTTGGCCAGAACCTGTCCGGGGCACCCAAACCATGGAGAGACTAAGCCTTCTGATTGCGCCAAGATGAGAAGCACCCGTCCTTGAAATTGGTCAGGAGTTGGCTGGGCTGGATCAAGACGTCAGACATTTCCCCTTTTGGCGTCATCATTTGCTTGTCATCGATGCCAGCGGTTTATTGCATGATTCCTGCTTGGAGAACTCCTGACACGCTGGCGCCGGCATTGCCTCGATCGAAGAAACCAGTTGGCAGTGAGCACAACTCATGCCGAGGCCAAACCACAAGTCCCATTTTCTGCCGTTGAGCGACCCTGGGTTTGTTGTGGCCACCAAAGGCTTGGCAGAAGGCCTCTGGCTGGCGAGTATTGCTCAAGCCATGTCTCGATTGAAAGTCACTAGCAAGCTGATTGAACTATGCTGTGACTGCTTGCTCAGGCCAAGTCTCTCCTTCTCAAGTGCATCTGAACTTGGGAATCATCTTTGGAGAGACCGTACCCGCAATACCATATTGCTAGCTTCCTTAATGGTATTGCTAATGCGAAGGATGGATTCATGAACAATAACCTGAAAAGGATGGATGTTCATATGGGAGATGGTTCACCAACATAAAGTTATACTTATATATATATATATATATTTTCTAACAAATACTAAAAATTGATTGAATTATAACATGAAATATATAATATATAATAATGAATAATATAACATGAATATAATATGTAAAGATCTTTAATGAATATAGTAAGATATAAAACAAAATATAAATATATATATATTCACAAATATAACTAAATTATTTATAATACATTTTTTAAAATAGATATGTTATTTGGGAGATTATCTATTTTTAGTTTTGTATGTTTTTGTTTGGGTTGTTGTGTTTGTAGATTTTAATAGGTTGGATTCGGATTTATTTTGTTATATTGTTGTATAGGTTTGTTTTTGGAGTTGGATATTGTTTATATTTTAGAGTCGTTGTAATGGTGTTTTGGTTGAATTATTTTCGTAGTGTTCGTAGTTGTTGTATAATTTGGAAGTTTTTAAAAAAATTTGGCGATTCTTTTTTTATTTTTGTTTGGAGTTTTTATTTTTATTTTTTAATATTTGCTTACATTTTGGATTGTTTTCGATTATTTGGTTTTTAGATATTTTTTTTTATTTTATTTTTTTGTTTGTTTATTGTTTTTTTTATTTTTAATTATTTTTGTGTTTTTCTTTTTATATTCTTTTCTTTTTGTTTCTCTATATGTTTGTTTGTTGTTTTTCTTTTTTGCTTATATGTTTATTTGTTTTTTTGTTTGCCTTTTTGTTTGTTTTTGTTTCTGTTTGTTTTTCTTTATATGTCTTTACCTGTTTTTGTTTGTATTAATTGTTGTTTTGTTTGTATTTGTTTTTTTGTTTATTTTCGTTTGCTTTTATTTGTGTTTGTTTGTTTTTATTTATTAATGTTTGTTTTTATATGTTTTTGTTTTGTTTTTGTTTTTGTTTGTTGTGTGTTGTTTGTTTTTGTTTGTGTTTATTTGTTTTTTTTTGTTTGGGTTGGTTTGTTGTTTGTTTTTTTTGTTGTTGTTGGTTGTTTGTAATTTATTGTTTGTGAATAATTGTTTTTTGTGTTGTTTGTTTGTTTTATGTATTTGTTGTTATTTGTTTGTTATTTGTGTGTTGTTTGTGTGTTATTCTTTGTTGTTGTTGATTATTATTGTTTATTTGTTGTTAATATATTGTTATTTAATTTTGTTAATATGGTGTTATTTGGTTATTTATATTTGTTTGTTTGGCTTTATATATTTATTTTTATTTCTTTATATTTGTTTTTATATATTTATATTTGTTTTTATTTGTTGTTATTTGTTTGTATTGTTTATTTTTGTTTGTTTTATTCATTTTTGATTGTTTATATAGGTTTGTTTATTTATTTGTTTACCTTTGTTTGTTTTTGTTTATTTGATTGTTTGCCTTTGGCTGTTTGGTTGCTTTATTTATTTTGTTTTTCTATTTGTTTTTGATTGGTTTTATTATTTCTATTTGTCTTTATCTATTTTTGTCTATTTCTGTTTGTCTTTGCTTCTGTTTGTCCATTTGCCTTTACTTACCTGCCTCTATCCTCTCTTTGTTTGCCTCTTTTGTTTGCCTCTGATTATTTTTATTCTGTGTGATTTATTTTGTTTATCTCTATTTACCTCTACCTATCTCTGCCTATTTCTACTTACCTACTTCTACCTATGTCCATTAACATTTACCTTTTTCTATCTGCCTCTGCTTGCCTTTGCCTGTCTGCCTTTGCCTGTCTCTGCCTTTCCTGTCTCTGCTTGCCTCTATCTGCCTTTGCCTACTGTTGCTTGTTTTTGCCTACTTTTGCTTGCCTTTGCCTGCCGTTGCCTGCCTCTGCTTGCTTGCCTCTTCTTGCCTCTGCCTGCCTTGCTACTTGCTCTTGCTACTTTGGGCATTGCTATATATTGGTTAATGGATATATAGATATATATATATATATATATATTTATAATAGTGGATATATTTTATAATATATATATATATCATAAATATATATAGATATATATATATATATATAATTTTATATATATTGTAAGGAGATTCATATGTTTTAAGTTTTTTGGTATATATTTATATATTTATTATAATTTTTTATATATATATTTATAGTTTTCGATTATTATAGATAAGCTTATTTGTTGTGTTCGGTATTTATTATTCCTTGATTCTATATTATTTTTAGTTTTTTTGTAGGAATTAAATTGTATCTATTTTGAATTTTTGTTGATATTATTGTGAGGAGGTTATTTTTATTTGGTTTATTATATCTTTATAAATATTTATTTATTTTGCCGGAAAGGAATTAATGATATTAAGGATATAAGACGCCTTCGATTTGCTAGTGATGTTGGGGATATTGGCTGGATATATAGAGATTGAAAATGATATTAGTAAAAAATATATATATATATTATAAAACTAATAATATAAATTCTAATATGTTATTAATTAAACCAAAGCAAAAAAAAGATTTATATATTTTGAAAAAGGATTTTGTTAATTGTCGAAATATATATTCTTTATTATATTATATTTTTTGTTTTTTTGGTCGTATAATTAACTTTATTTATTTTATTATATATATATATGGTTTCTTTATGTTACCGGATTGGTGGGTTATATATTTACTAATATCTGGTTTTATCCAATATAGATTTGCATTTTTACAATTCTCATTAGTTCCTTATATTCTCGGATTTTGGGAATATATATTCATTAATATGTATATATATATTTATATATATTTGTTTTTGTATATATTTGGTTTCCAATATATGGTGTTATTCCTTTTTCAATATTGGTAAATAATCTATTGCATTTTGTTAATATATATATATATATATTTATTTGCCTCTAAATATCAATCTAAATTTACCTCGTTATATTCTAATATAGGAATTCATCTATTTTCCAAAATTTTCAAATCATTAGAATAATTATTTTTATACTATTTAATCATTAATATATATATTTTTTATATGTTTTGTAATGCTACCAAATTGCTAAGCCGTCCTTTTATTAGGATATATATATATATATATTTATCTCCTAATAGGTGGATTTTTAACGTCATCAAATCGTCGGACCGCACGCTTACCAATATACCCTTATCTTCTAATATTATATTTAATTTATTTGTCAAACTGCCAAATTATCAGACTATATATTCGACAATATATTTGTTTCGGTGTTATCAAATCGCCGAAACAATTCAAATTTAGTTATTTATCCTTTAACACCTGTGTTTGTCTTCCAATATACCAAAGCGCTAGGCCACAACATTTATCCATCATTTCGATTTTAACGCGCCATAAAAGACGGAATAGCACGTAGAGATGGAAGATTGAGGTGATCGCTAAGACAGAAATTGATATTATGCCGCCAGCGCCGTCGCTACACTTTAGCGTTAGTGCCGGTGAAGGGAGATGATATCTAGGTAATATGAAATAGCCTAATAATATCTTCTGTTTTGATAGGTGTTTAGTAATGTTGTTCTGGGTGCTTGGTCCAGTGTTATGCTAAGTATTTGGTATAATGTTCCGAGTCTTTAATATAATGCTATCTCGGGTGTTTATGTAAAATTATTCTTTATGCCGGGGTAACGTCATTGCTATTGATATATGTTCGATCTTTGTTCTTATATTAAAATATTTCTCAATTCCTTTTTGGAAATTGTCGAGATATAACCTTGTCTTTGATTATTTTTCTATTATTGGCACGGATTTAGTCTTTATGTCATTATAATTGTTTTTTGCCTAAACATAAAGCCCAACTAGGCGGGAAATTAAACGTCCTATATGGCGATGGCCTACTGACCTTCAAAGGATCACCTTAGTGTCGATGCACAAAAGTGGTTCTTATTAGCGTAGAAATGTGTTCGTCGTTGGCGTATATATATAAATATATTTATCAGCACAAAAAATATATGAATTATTGGCATAAAAATATATTTATTGTCGATATATAAAGGTGTGATTTATCGGTACATAGTACGTTATTATTGCGTGCAAAATATTTTTTGGTGCATAATTAATTCATCGTCGATATATTAAAATATTCCTTTTTAGTATATAATAATATATATTTTCGATATATAAAAATATTTCTTATGGATTCATAAATGTGCCCAACGTCCATGTATAAAAGAGTTCCTTATTGGTAAATAAATATATTCATCGTCGGTGTGTAAGAGTTAATACCTAAGCATATCCAAAATCGATATACCAAAAAATAATACACAAAAATGGCGCACAAATATACTAATTAACGACGCACAAAATTATTCCTTATTAGCGCACGAATAAGAATATATCAAAAAAGAAAAACAGAAATACTTCCATACTATATATTTATTAATTTCATTTTGTATAAAGTTACTTTGCCTAGGAACCTCCCAATCGCCGGCCAACCGCGGTCCAATCGCGGTCCCACAATTCCCAATCGCGGAGCAATATTAGGCATAGCCGTCTTCTTTTTCGCTTCTCGCCACTGCAACTTGCTCGATCCTATGAGTCCACAGAATCTAATGTGGTGGAAGTGCTACTCGAGGAATTGGACTCATTGCTGTCTGAAGCAAAGTCTTTCATGTGGCTCCATTTTTCCCCCCGTCTCAGCAACTTGTTGGCCACCACAAACCTGCTTCAGAGTCGTGGCTCGCTGTCTTCGGGGGCGGTCACCAACAAGTCAACCCTTCACCGGAATAAGAAAGAAATGACAAGAAGGAAGCGGCAGAGCCTGGATGGGCAGGGGCTCACTGGCGGCATTCGTCCAATCGCAGTCCAATCGCGATCCAATCGCCGTCCAATCGCGGAATTCGTCGGCGAAATTTCGGTTCATCTAGCCCTTGCTAGCAATCAGGCTTGGAAAGCACTATCTAGGCCTGCCAGACAAAGTCAACATCCAGGGATCTAGAGGGAACTTTCGGGCAAGCTTGCGCAGTCAAAATCAACGACATGCATCGGGATGTTTTAGAAAGGATGTTTCAGACCTGTTTCAGATCTGCCTGTTTCAGACCCTATTTCAGACCCTAAAGCCCTAAGGTGAGCAAAACAATCGATCAACCCTAAAGCAATGACATCTCGTTTTCCAGCAAGCAACCAAAAACAATAGAAACAAAGCAATCCCGGTAGTAAGATATCGCTACTATAACGCCAGCGGTCGTATTAAAACAATGTTCCTGCTGAGACTAGTAGCAATAATAGCAATCCCCAAAAAAAAATGACATTCATCCTGCTATGACGGTCCAATAGCCCTAGATACAACGCGGTAGCAAATCAAAAAAACACTTTGAAATATGATGGAAAGATATAACGTAGGCCGAAGCCATCGCAAAACCCCATCTAGGGAAGCAACGGCGCAAGCAACAACACAATTGGGATGTTTCAGAGATGTTGTATCCTTTTGCGGGCAGCGCCCGTGAGAAGGTAGAAGCATGAAATACGCACTACGCGAATTCTACGCGGCCGCGGGCGCGCGCGGGTTCCGCGTCTGTGGGTTCCGCGCGCTCGGGTTCCGCGCGCGAGCGGTCCGCACTCGCGCATGCGTTTTGCATGCTACTTGGCTTACCATAACAGAATATTTAAGCTGCACCCGGCAACTGCTGCTTACTAAGTCATTACCACAAATTCGTAGCAATAATGAAATGCTGATAGAATTCCTAGCAATTTAAGCTATTATACTAAACGAATGGCGGTAATCGTGATAGTAGTAAAAGTAGTACCAGTAATGATGATAGTAGTGGTAGTAGTAGCAGCAACAACAGCGGTAGCGGTAGTAGTATTAAGGAAACAAAAAAAAAAATGGGTATTTAAGATTTGGGTTTTGAATTTTGAAGATATTTTAAAACAATGTTAATTGTATTTTATAAGTAATTATGAAAAGGTTTATATTTCATATTATATATAAGTATGAAAAATTTATTTTCTAATTATTAAAATTATAAATTCTTAATAAATTTATTAAAGAAGGTTATACAAATATAATATTTTAATTTAAAGAATATATATTATAGATATATATGTTTAATTAATTATATATATATAAATTTAATTTATAATAATAATTATTATAATAATATTAATAATATAAAAGAGCCGTTCGTAATTGCGTGTCTAAAATTTATAAACAAAGGTAATTTATTAAATTATGCGATTATAAAAATTCGAGCCGCGATTAGACGGCGATTAAAATGCAAAAGGGAATCGAATTCATCATAAATTTAGAAGTTGTTTAACATCTATTTCCATTATTATTATTATTACTATTAATATTACTATTCTTATTGCTTCCATCTATAAATTTTAATATACCATTATAAAAAAAATTAATAAAATATCCATATCAAAAAAAATAAAATCTAAATTCTAAATAAATACAATTTCATTATTTATATATTATTCAAATATTTCAATGTTAAACCATAAATTCATTAATTTAAAAATATATAATCAATATATCTATATCAATCATATTATATTATAGAATAAATATAAATATAATAATTATTATTCAATTTCAAATATATATATATATATAGATATATATATATATATGAATTATATAATATAACATAATTATAACTATTATAAATATAATATTGAATTATTATAATATAATTATATTATTTAAATGAATATTTAAAATCAAAATATCATTCCTATTATTCAATATTTAAATTATATATAAAATTATTATGTTAAATCAAATATTTATATCTAAATATATATATATATATAATAATTTGTTAAACTCCATAATCGTAATATGGCTCCTAGCAAAAGGTAGAGATTCTAAAATCATTGAAAATATCAATTTGGATTCTTCGAATCTCGTGTCGAATTCCATTCCCCTCCCATCCTGTGGCAGGCAGCCCTGCCAGGGCGAAAACCGCGCCGAAATCACGGCTCACTTGGGGATGGAGCGTTCGTCAGGCACCTCGCGGAGACATGTCCCAAAGTGAAAATAGGTGCCTCTCACCAGATTGAAGCAGAGAATCACACCAAAGAGAGCAGGTGGGGGTTGCGCGCTCGACTTCGGCTACGACAACGAGTACATTCATTCACTGCTGTTGCCCAATGATGATCTTGAGAGCGGACTGAAACCACGATGCACTTTCTTGTCGCTCTCTCGGTGGATGACAGGCCGAGAACAGAAACAGAACGCTCCTTGGCCAAAGTCTCGAATCTCAAGTTCAAAAGAATCACCATCCATCGTCATGTCTTCTCTTGGTCTGGTCATGGTCGAACCGGCGACGCCCGAATTTCGCAGACCCGCTGTCCAAAGCCAAACCCGACCAAAGCAATCAAAAACAAAACGCACGAGACCTCAATCTGCTTGCCTCGCCCTGTAGCGGCGCGTTGCCCTGCGCGGAGGGATCCATGGAGGGGTAGTAAGGTCGGTACCTCAGCAAGGGCGTGATATCAAGTTTATTCCTTCGCACCCCCCAAAATAAATAAATAAATAAATAAAATCATGATGACAACCGTGGCTACCATGATAGAGGTTTGCAAAAAAAACAGCTCATCGCCCAGTGATACTGGTCGAATCGGGGGACCCTGCAAGATCATATTGAAACAATTCTCAAAT